AAAAAACCTTGATACACCCCGGTGTTGGACCGACCAGGGTTGTTTTTTTAAAGGGCGGCAGAAGGCCGCCAACGCAAAAAGAAGTTCTACAAGAAAAAAAAAATATTGTCATAGAGGGTATAACATAATACTTAACATCAATGCTTTATAATAGTTTATTTCTCTAGGTTTTGGATTCCTGTATTTGGGGTATTATCTGTTTTAATTTCTTTCAGTTCAATTACAAAAGATGTCGATAAGGTAACACTGGTTATTTGAAATTTTGCAACCCTTTTGTTATTGTCAGAATTAATAGAATTTAACAATAATTTAATTATTGAATTGAACTATTTTTTCACTATATAATGTAAAATAAATGTGTACAAACGAATTATTGAAGTGTTAGTGGATATAAAAGTGGAAAATATAAGTGTATAACTCATTCGAAATGGGAAAATATCTCGAAAACTATAAGTTTCCCGCGGCTATATCTATATATATTCTTGATCTGGAGGATCTCCTCTATCCGCCCATACCCATTTTATCCCCGAAAGCGTGGGACGTTATCCTAAAGTTTTCCCAAATATTTAAAATAAAATACAAATTAAATAAATTTATTTTGCAAGTAAGAACTAATAATCTAATCTGGGAAAAAAGACTCTCATATACGTAAAAGAGTATTCGGTTTTATGGTTACTGCCTCATTTAAATTATTTTCGACAAATTACACCTGCCGAAGCCACACGCGCAAGACAGGTTGCTACAAAGCAAATAAAAAGCACAGATATTCATCCGAAATTTTCACAAGCACAAAAATTGTATCACCTACTATACAAAACAAAAAGTCAAGCAACCGTAATAGTCAAACAGTTCGCACTTAATGACGACAATTTCAATTTGGCTTGGGAAGCTTTAAAATCCAGATATGAAATTGAAAAAATATTGGCCGATAAACAAGTAACGACACAAAGAAACTTGCATAAATTCAAAAACAAACAAGTGAAGAATTAGTTAAACTACTATCCACTGTTTCAAATTGTTTGTCGGTTCTATCGACACAATATATTCCCACACACAGCTGGGACCCAATACTGGTAAATATATGCCGCTTTGCCAGAAAAATCGTTACTTTTGTGAGAGCAATTGCTCTCATCTCGAAAAAAAATGCCTAAGAAATCCGTTACAATATTGTAAATCGTTTTCCTTGCAATTCACTCTTGATTCCGATCACTGGATTGTTAAATAAAAGTCCCAATTTAATGGCTACACACTTATACTATGTTCGCACCGAATTGAAATCCTCTTGAAAAGGCAGTTTGTGGATTGTGGAACCAAAGTCGTTCTGACCGACATTGTGTGTTTTCGATGAGTTTTCATTGACAGTTCACACATATATTTATTTACGTTTGTTATGTACCCTACAAGAACAGTGACGGTCATCTGATGGGTAATATGACAGTCATAGCTGAAAAAATTTGGTCAGCGCGCAGAGCAAAGTTTCTATCATTTTCTTAAGTACCTTGTTTTCTTTTTGTTTGTTTGTTTTGGTTTTTCTGAGTCATTGCTGACCATAAATCCGTCATAGCTGAAAATTGTCAGTTATGACAGAAACGCTATCAGAAGTGAAAAATTCTTTTGCGCAGTAGATAATATAATTTTTAGTTCTTGAATAAATTTCAAACTTTTAATCAAAATTAGTTATAATAATATACTTTAATATAAAAAGGAATGCAACAAAAAATATAATATATATATGAAAATATAAAAATAAATTTTCACTTGATGCCATCTCCTCCTCTCAATAGCTCTGCGTACGTCTTTCTCCAATCAGTGGATAGTTCTGAATTTAAAAATGCAAATGTAAATTAACTGTCCTGACATATCAAATGTGAGTGTATTGGTGAACCCATCAGCAGTTTCTTGTAGGGTACGTTTAGGCCAATTATGGAATGTAAACAAATTGTCAACTGACATTTAAGGCTGGCAAAATATGTCTTCTAATAATATCGATTAAACTAAAGTAGGCGCCGATTATAATGAGTGGAATGTAAGTTTTCAAGGGGTTTTCAGCGAAAACTGTGTTTAAGAAGAGAGAGGAATTTCCCACTTCTCATATCAATGAAATTTACATTCACGCACTCGGGGAACAACAATTTTTCGTTTCCAAAATCGTGGCGTATTACTCCACTACTCAGATCTATTTGAGCATTTACCCGTTTTAATAGATCCAGTCCAATAATACCATCGAACGTTGCCATATTAGGCAATATGAAGAAATCCGCCCATACACCAAATAACTTGAGTCTCTACTTCTTATTCACATGACTATTTCCGTGCAGTGACTTAACCAGAAAAGGTGTGGATGCTGGGATAACATTTTTAAACTCGGGCAAAGGTTTAATATAGTTTTTAGACGCCCCTGTGTCCACTAATAGCTTTATTTTATTCCTTTGGTTCCCTACTCCTCGTTCGATCAGGACAGCAGGGACTTCCCCCTAAAAAATTTAGTTCTTCCTCTTCGAGATTTTCTGTTTCTTCTTCCGCCTCTTGATTGTAGGCTGTGTCTTGGTTACCTTGGCTTAAATTATTTATTCTCTGGATTTTAGGTCCAGTATTCCTACCTGATTCTGCCTGTCGCTTTCCAAATTGTTGTTGTTGGTTAGAGTTAGGGCTCTGTTTGGAATTGTTTCGGTACACCTGTTGATTTACTTTTTGTGACTGACGCCAATTTGAATTATGGCGAAACCGTGATTCTTATGGATCTATTTCCATTGGTACTAGTTGATCTTGTTAATCATTTTCGTTGCCGTTCCCTTTCGGCTGTCTATTGAAAATATATGGATTTTTTTTGGGGGTTCGCAATCTCTGTTCTAAGTTGTTATCACCGATCTTCTTAAATCTGTTTGGATCTTCAGCAGACGCAGCGAAGTTTGTAGCGAGCACATATCGTTCTCTATTTGCCTCGACCTCCTGGGCCAGGGCCAGAGCACCCGGCAAGTCATCAGGTCGAGAAGCGAAGAGAATGTCACACAATGGTCTTTTTAGACCAGAAATGAATACCCTAAGCGCGTCTGCTCTATACTTTGTGCAGATTGATTCCGCAATGGGACCCTCATGTGTCATTATGGTTTTATTTGTGAGAAGAGTTAGCTTCTTCTCCACTTCGTCGAAATATTTCAGGACTGACAGGTTGCCCTGTCGAAGCGTAGAAAGTTCCTGTTCTATGAGATATATTGGACGCTTGTCCGAATAGGTACAGTATTAAAAGATGCTAAAACGCCATCAGCGGAGCTCTTTAGCTTATTTCTAATTATTCCTACGGCTTGATAATGCCTAGAGCTGCCCTGATGGCTTCGAAACACCTCGTAAGCCGTGTGGGCGGCCTGACGCCAGGAAACGTAGGTGCTGACTTGACCGTCAAACTCTGGCAATGACTTCACCAGGTCTAAAGGTTCTTCACATTTAATACCTGCAATGATTTTCACAGGCTCGTAAGTATGTGGCTTTTTTACTGTGGTTAAAGTGGCAATTTGCTCTGTCAGTCGTGTCAATTTGTGTTCAAAGGACTCCTGTTGCTGTTGCAGTGCGCCTTTTACGGCAGCCTGTACTAAAGCGGTTATTTGGTTTGCGTCCATTACACCTATATTTCTATTCCTTGCGATCTGCAAACTACCGATCTTTTCTAATAAACCCTCAAGATCACTATCGCTCATCAAATCGTTGCGAACACGAAACTACAAATTAGACCACCAGCAAAACACTATACGTTTCTCTATTAGAGCGCAACACTGTCACTATTAATCAATTTTCCACGAATCACTTTGAAAAGAAAAAAAAAATTGAGCACTCTACTTACGCAATTATTATTAAGCTATCCATTGAAATTGATCCAGTTGTTGGTAATTCCTTTGAGCCTCCTTCAAGTTATTCAGTTGTTGGTAATATTCTTTCAGCCTCCTTCAAGTGATTCAGTTGTTGGTAATATTCTTTCAATTATTCGGTCGTAGGTTCAAACGCG